ACCTCGATGTCCAGCTTTCCTTTACAGTTGCCAGTATGCAGTAATTAATTATTAGCGTTTAACTGTCAGTTGTGTGCGCTACAGTGTTTCAAATGTAACAAAGAAACGAAAATGGGGAAGCTGAGAAATTCTACGACCGGAACTCGCAATCACACACATGGTCTAGACCAAGTATGTCAATTTATGCATCATGGTTCTTACAAAGGTTTTGAATTCTTTGTCGGCGTGGGTGCTGAAAGCGGTCACCGATAGATTTAATGTTTTGTTCAATTCCTGCGGACGAATTTGTCTGTTTATGTAGATTCGGCCGATGGTGCTATCGATTCCAAACAGATAGTCGTCGTCACGTCCTGAAATAAAACCAGGATTTAGATTAATAACGGTAAATTTTATAGAAATTAGGCTCTTTAGAAACACTGTTAGAAGGAAATTACTCGATATGCTTTGAAATACTGTACTCTGATTCTTTTGTATTTGTTAAGATAATCGTTTCGAACCGTTTGCGCAAATAGAACGCTTTTGTTCTGCAATGTCCGCCGTGTTTGTAGTTTCTCAGCACCTTTCCTGTAAGGCATTGATTATTGTATTCCAGACGGAAAGATTCCTCTCAGAAAGCAGATCTATATTTATCATGTTCCTCCATTTGTATTCTGGCTACTGACCTCACAGAAGTTTATGGGCTGGAATAAATGGTGTATTCTCAACCAGTTTGTCTGACTGGGTCAACCTCATTTTCTTAATCTCTACATTTACTGAGGTTACCTGTGTCCGGAAGGGAATGGAACAGTTCCTTACGTAGTCTTAAAATTTAACCCTCATGATGAGACGAAGCTAACGCTGTTGAATGCATGTTCAACAACTTGTCCTTTTTGCTCCTTCGTCAGAACAACTGTTTATATATCATACAACAGTAATTACCTGCAAGAGGTAAGATACACGCGGATCTTCGAGGGAACAATAACTTCTTTCTCAGCCTAAATGTTGAACAGGTTTCCAAAAATACAGAAAGCTAGGACATTCCTCCTCTTTAACTCTGGCTCGATACTGTCATCATAGGAGATGATACAGCAGAGATACTTAAACTGGTCTACCTACTGGAGGACTTCATCTCCCTGTTTCACTGTAAATTAGTTATGCAGAACAGTTCTCGCATAGCCTCGCTTATGAAAAGCTGTTTCTTCAGTTTAGGAGCTAAATACAGTGATTTGAACGTATCATTAGATGCCGAAGTGGAAACTTGCACATTATACTCCGTTGATACGCTGGTCAGGATTTGAAAATTCGACTGAGAATTGAGAATCAAAGAGAATTTCGATATTGGAAAAGGGGATAACACACCGGAGAAACGCCTTAAAGCTGCGGCAGCCGACTGGAAAAGAATAGCAAGCTTCCAGATGAATGAATATATGAACAATGAAATGTGTGACAAAGGAATGCGTCCTCAAATTAATCTTTGTCCCTCACAGGGATATGTTCAGTCACATTTTAGAAATAATGCTATCGAAAATGATAATGACAAAAGCAATCCACCATTCAAATTGGTGACAACTTGAATGCAAATGTTTCAGCTGCACTACTCTGTTCAATTTTTGCCTCCATCGTATGAAATGTTATTTTCTCTCCATTTTTAGACATTTAGAGAGAAAGGCCCGGTTCTTCCCCTTCCTCCTCCCGTCCCGCGTGATACATGTCAGCTTCTATCAAGAGGATAGACCTCTGACGAAAAACAAGCTTCGGCTCAGATTAGAAAAGAAAAAGATGCAGCTCCATTTTCGCAAAGGGACAGCGAGCCTTTCAAATTTTCGGTATGTCAGTGCATTTTTGATATTTAAATCCAAAGAACATGGCAACTATTTTGGAAGATGTCTGTAGTGTTCATTAACTACCAGCAGAGAGTAGAGAGATGACAAAACAGACTGTTACTCTCTAACTGGTGATGGCTCATATGATTTGTAAAGCAGTGTAAAAAATATGAAAATAATACCTGTTATTGCAAAATTTTGTGGACAGGACAATTCCTGAGGAAACATTATGACAGTGCTGTTGATAGGCAGCGCAGAATCCACTTCTTTCAAATATGAGTCGCGAAGCAGCGACGGCTGAGAACAGTCGACAGACGTAACGAACACAGTTATCTGAAAATACACGATAGGACGAAAACGAGAGAAGTCATAAATATTGTACGTTTAAACTGCTTGACAGAGACGGTCGCCCCAAATCATAAGCGGTGACCGTCACTACATAAGAACCAGCGATACTTGTGAAATTGCCAAACGACGCCCACACGGTTCCGTCTGAAAGAAAAAAAGCATTGTATGTCAAAACAAGTTTTGGGCAATGATTTAAGCACCAGTAGTGTTGATACTGAAGATTCCTGTGCTGCTATAGGGCGGTTCTAGCCGGTAATACACAATGCCATTCTGACCATCATCCATATCAGTGGCATGTACCTTGGAGATCTAAATGATGGACTACAAAATGAAACAACTTATGTCCACCAATCCTCGAACCAGCAGTGGATCCTGAGGTTCTTCACCTTCAGTTAAAGTGACATTTACAACAGATGGTTGCTGCGTAAACCGCGGTGGGTTGTCGTTGACGTCGACGATGTCGATGTGGACCATGGCAAAGCTAGTCATCGCGGGCTCACCTTTGTCTGTTGCCTGAAACATACGTCAGTGGCATAGATGAAGCCCCGTACTTAACCGTGATCGAACAGGCGATCACTCAAAAAAGTTTGTTATGCACATTGTATTAATTTCTTTGAAACAGCTACATTCAGTAATGGAAAACGGTAGCAAATGGACCAGCATTAACAAGATAGGATCTATTCAATGCTTGACAGCTTTTTTCCTTTCCTTTTAGGTGTTCTGTTTATTCAACCTCTAGCCTGAGGTGAGATTCAAACTGAGTTTTTGTGCATCAGGATAGCAGAGAATTGAAGTGGCGCATCATTGGTGTAAAACTCATTAATACTGACATCATTTTATTATGACCATCGTTCTTATGTGCAATTTAGACAATGCTTGATCTATATGAGCAAAAGGGTGCGCGACGTACTGGCTCACGAGAAATTCATTCGTAGCTGAGATCTTAAAACGTACTAATGGCTGATCACTAAAAATACTAACATAGAAAGAAACGGATCACTTTTTAGATGCACGATTAGAAAATTCACATGTAAAGCAAAGATAGAAATATTTTCATGCATCAGGAAAATAGTTTGTTGTTGAAATATGGGCCCAGAACCAAACATTCCTTCAAGAATATTCAAACAAAAATTGGAAAGCAATCAAACTGCAAAATCCGCAGCAGCATCAGTTAGCGATTTGTGAAATACTCCTGATCACGACTTCTACACCGAAAGCCGAAACGTATTAAAAATGACAACGTTCTGCTACGTCCAGAGCCATTAATGTTGAAATACATTAATATTTGAATTTAAGTACCGTGAAAGCTGGATTTCACTTAGTCGCCCGGGTTACCAAGGGCCGCGCAGGCTGTTGGGGCACTGAGGCAGACTGCGAAAAGTCGGCAATCAGAACCTGCTCACTGCCCTCTGCCAGACGGGGGCGTGGCAGCACAACGACGGCTGACGAAGACCGACGCAACGACGGCGAAGATACCAGTCAGCAAC